AGAATACAAAAATACTAATTCAAAGGGATACATGCACCCTGAGGTTTATAGCAGCACTATTTACAATAGCCAAATTACGGAAGCAGCCCAAGTGTCCATCCGTAGATGAATGGATAATACACAATGGAATATTATTCAGCCACAAAAAAAGAATGAAATCTTGCCATTTGCAAGATAGAGAGTAATAAGTCAGAAAGACAAATAAGTGAAATAAGTCAGAAAGACAAATACTATACGATTTCACTCATATGTGGAATTTAAGAAACAAAAGAAATGAATAAGGGAAAATAAAGGCAAGATGCCTGGCTGGCTCAGTTGGTAGAGTCTGTGACTCCTCATCTCAGGGTTGTGAGTTTGAGCCCCATGTTGGGTGTGGAGCATAATGAATAAATAAATAAAAAGGCAAACAAATAGACAAACAAAGGCGGGGTAGGGGGAGGAGAGACAAATCAAGAAACAAGACTCTTGGGACGCCTGGGTGGCTCAGTTGGTTAAGCGGCTGCCTTCGGCTCAGGTCATGATCCCAGCGTCCTGGGATCGAGTCCCACATCGGGCTCCTTGCTCAGCGGGGAGCCTGCTTCTCCCTCTGCCTCTGCCTACCACTCTGTCTGCCTGTGCTCATGCTCTCTCTCTCTCTCTAACAAATAAATAAAATCTTTAAAAAAAAAAAAAAAAAAGAAACAAGACTCTTAACTATAGAGAGCAAACTGATGGGTACCAGAGCGGAGGTGGGTGGCGGGGTTGAGGAAGGTAAAGGGGATTAAGAGTACACTTATCAGGATGTGCACTAAGTAATGTACAGAATTGCTGAATCACTGTATTGTACACCTGAGACTAATAGAACACTGTATGTTAACTATACTGGAATTAAAATAAAAAACTGGAAAAAAGAAAAAGAATTCTACATATGTTAAAAATGACATCTCAAATCAATTTAGAAAGGATGGATTTCAACCTTTTTGTGGAATAAATGGTACTGGAATAGATTATGCAGGGGAAAAGAATCAATTCAGATTCCTACTTAATATCATACTCCAAAACAAATTCCGGATATTTTACAGTATTTTTTTTTAAACCCCCCCCCTTTTTTTAAAGATTTATTTATTTGTCAGAGAGAGAGAGAGAGCAAAGGCAGGGAGAGTGGCAGGCAGAGGGAGAAGCAGGCTCCCTGCTAAGCAGGGAGCCCAATGCACGACTCCATCCCAGAACCCTAGGATCATGACCTGAGCCGAAGGCAGAAGCATAACTGACTGAGCCACCCAGGCGTCCCTATTTTACAGTATTTAAAATAAAACATGAGACCACAGAAGAACTGCCATATAGATATTTATCTGATATGGGGCCTCCGTAAAGGCAAAAGACAATAATTATGGAAATAAAAATGAAGTAACAAAAGTAAAATACAAATAAACTGAAGAAAAAAAAACCTATTTCCAACATATATAATTAAGGGGGTTATAGCTTTAAAATAGGACACTTTCTTAGCAGCTCTGGTAAGAGGCTTAATGGGACAACAGTTGAAGCAGATGATTCCCATTATCTTTATTGATTAACTATGAACTATCTGTTTAGTCCCTCCCACCCCCCCATCTAGCTTTTGGGAATAAAAGACAGCTGCATGAATATGCAATAAGATCTCAGACATAACAGCACCTCGAAGAGGTGGCCAAGGGTCAATACAGTTCCAATTTTTTTTTTTAAAGATTTTACTTATTTATTGGACAGGGAGAGACACAGACAGAGAAGGAGCACAAGCAGTGGGAGTGGGAGAAGGAGAAGTGGGCTTCCTGCAGAGCAGGGAGTCTGATGTGGGACTCAATCCCATGCCCTTGGGGTGATGACCTGAGCCAAAGGCAGACACTTAATGACTGAGCCACCCGGGAGCTCTACAGTTCCTATTTTTAATTATTCTTGCTGTATTAGGAAGGAAGAAAAAGGTATGTAGATCTGGTTGCCCGAAGATTGCTAACCATGGGTGTCGAGGTCAGGTGAGGGGTGACTCAGGGTCACAGGGCCTGCCTTACAGACTGCATAACCTTTTATATTAGGGTGTTGGGGTGGGGGGTGGGGAGGCAAGGAACGACTGTGAGAAAAGAAAAGAAAAGAAGAAAAGAAACGAAAAGAAACGAATAGACAAGAAAAGATGTAAAGGAAGGCACTCATGGAGAGGGCTTCCCTAGTCTTAGGCAATTCCACCTGCACTTCAATAAAAAGAAAGGCACCTGTGAAAACTTTCAATTGGACCAAATCATGAAATTCCATCCTAAGAGACCAAAGACCCATTTAGTGCTATCAAAAAAGGGAGAGCATACGTGAAATAAAATAAAACCAGTGCTTGAGTGTTGGCGGGAGCTGAGTCCAGACAAAAGGACACATGTTCGGGGAGCAAGGTCTCTGTCGATTCTGCCTTGGTGACCCACAATCAAACTTCTGGTGTGCATGCCTGGGTCGTTATCTTCCACTCAAAAAACTGTCCTCTCTCTCCCATTACCATACTCTCTCAAGCTCCACACACAATGGTTCTCCATCCTGGAAGACGCAGAAACTTCCCTCCTTCAGGCCTAAACGATATCCAGACTGCTCTCAGGAAAGTTGTCTGCTAATAGGATTTTTATTTAAATCATACTCTGGAATCTGGGGTGTATTTCTTTTTCCCCAGTAGTGGCATTTCCAAATAGCACCTTGTTTCTCTACCATCTGGTTCTTCCTGGTAATACTCTTCCTGTTAACAAACTTGGTCTATTGGCAGACACCATAAGGTTGTCATCACAGAAGTGACAAACTCTGGCAATAGGACACACTCTGTAAGAATGATGAAAAGAGAATTCCGTAAAAGTCTACCCAGATACCAAATCAGCTATTTACATGGGAGAGATCTGGTTCCAGCCCCAGAGTAAACTCTACAGCACTCTGGGTAAAAAATGTCAGAAGACTGAAGGAGCATCGGAATTAACTGGATCACATCCAATATTAGATTCATTCTCTGGACTCCCAAAGGGAGAGATGAAATGACTGACCTTGGCCTAAAACTGCTGGGGTAAGGCGCAACTCAAGCGCCCGGTCTGACAGAGAAACGGTGCTCCAAAAAAGTGCTAACTCCAACTCTCACATCTTAGTTAGGAACATGTTGGCAGTCACACACTGGGGACGGCCTTCTTTGGGAACTGCTGGCTTTTAGGATGCAGACCAGAATTTTCTCTTACCACCAACACAATCAACTACATGAAATCAACACAACTTGATTACATACCCCAAAGGAAGAGGAAGCTTCTAGGAAATCAGTGATAGTGGGTGTGGTTCAGCTTTACTGTACGGTGGAATGGGTCCACTGGGCCAGAGACCCCCAGGGTCCTTATACTTACCTATAAATTCAGTCTGAGAAGGTGAGACTGAGGAGGAGCCAGAACTATAAAGCTGTCTATTCTCCTAAACCCCGACAGGTCGGTCAAGACCATTAGAAGGGATAACAGTCTCCTATCAAATTCACACAGAGAAGTATCTGTAGCTTTCCACAGGGAAAAACAGTAATCTGCACTTCAGAAGAGCGTCACAGAGCCAGATACCCTAGCTATTCAAGGTAGATCAGGACTCAGAAGAGAACAGCATAAAGTAAGGAAGTAGGGGTAGGATTCTAGCTAAAGAGGGAGGTTTTCGTTCAATCTACCTATGGTCCATTTTATCCCAAACACACATGGCTGTAAGATGCCCTTTAACCTGCAGTGTTCTGGCTAAGACCAAGTCTATCTCTGTCAGGGTTAGTTCATGGGAGCCCCCAAACCTACAGAAAAAGTAGGCTGTAGCTACAGTGTTTGATTTCTTGGCTTGTTTGTTTTTCAGAAGATGATTCTCAGGAGCCACAGGGACTCTTTACATTTCCTGTGTTATTCTCTGGGTGAGAGACACAAGTACTTTCTTCTTCTCACTTCCAAAGGAGGACACAGCTTTGGGTCTTTCTTCAAAGACTTTTCCAAGTTCACTTATAACGGATCTATCCTTTAAAAAGCGCCAGGAACTTTTCTCTCAACCACTGATATCATTAAGTAACTTTCTGTCTAAATAAGACCGTTATTATTTATCCTCTTTTCAAGACTAAAAAGAAATCTCCAAAAACCATGGAGTACTTAACTTGTTCTACTTAACCTAATTATACATATAATTTTATTTATTTATTTATTTATTTATTTATTATTTATAAAATGTGTATTTTAAAAGTTTAATGAACAGTCCCAGAGTGTCACAGAACAGGGCTGGTCCTTCTCTTTGACCCAGACTTCTGCGGCACTTTCCCGGGCAGCCCAGGTCTGGGTAACTGACTTCCAGAGCCTGCTGAAATAGATCCAAAGAGCTGGGCTGAAGCTGTACATTTTTGCCACCATATTTCTATGAACTTTATCCCTTTAGTTTATTCAGGCAATCACCAATACCCAGGAAGTCAAAATCCTGGGGAACAAGGGCAGTGTGGTGGTGTGTTATTGGCTAAATCGAGAGGTCCCTGGTGAGGTCCCATTTAACAGGAGGCAGACTCCAGGGCACAAACCAGAAAAGCGCCTTCATCACAGCCTGAGGGCTGACCCTGTGTGAAATGCTGGTGCCTTTCTTGAGATAGAACATTCTAACTTACCACAATGTACCGCCCATGGGAGGGTCTCTGCTATTGCAAAGGATACTGATCTACCCCATGGGAGAGTAAAGGACAAAATGCGCCCCATAGCTAATTTTAAAGTACCTCTCAGTCCTATCACAGCAAAATACTTTTCAAATAAGCAATTCAATTAGATAGCCATTATCATGGCATTCCCCCCGCCCCAGAAAACCCCAAGTCTCCTACTCATGAAAGGAATCAGAGACTCCTAGAATTTCACTAGGCCTCAATTACCTTATCAATAAAGAAAACTTAAATCAAAGCTCAACCTCTTCCTGAAGGGTCTGCTGTCAGTCATGTCATGAAGGTTTAAGTGGAAACAGGGAAGATACTCAATAAAATATTTATGCTCTCTTACCATTAGCATCTTGGACTCCAGTAAGTGCTCCGACAGCTGCTGCGGTTTCCCCCGACAGGACGATCTGTCCCCCCCCTTGCAAGGTGGCCTCGGCCAGTGTGGCGACAGCATGGGCGGCGGCTTCACTGTGGGCACAGGAACAGCAGAGAGGGGGGTGTGTAAGTTGAATAAAGGCACAGCGCTGCAGCAAGAGAAACCATCTTCCCAACCCTTCCTTGGACTCCTCTACGGACTCAGTGGGTCCGAGCCTACCAGTGAAGATAGGAGTCCTGTGCTGCTGGATAGAGCCAGAGGAAATTTTTAAATGAGAACAGTAAATAGCCAGAGAACCCCCACGTCTTACAGATCTATAGAGCTAATGTGAGATATCCTTCAAATCTAAGAAATGGGGTGTTTGAGGACGGAAGGCACTCATTACCAGTCTCTTCTTTGTCAACATTGGTTGAGTGCTCGCCAGGCAGAGTGGGATCTCTGACCCACACTGACAAGGCAAAAGCCTTTCTGGTTGGCAATCACAAGGTTTTCTTGTTCTCTCTTCTCTTTATGGTAACACTAGGCAGATTATCTACAACTGCCCTTTGGTGACAGAGGACGGACAGTAACATGAGGAGTCAACAACCTGAACTCGCTATTTAATTAATATTAAATAATAACAATGTAGTTCATATCTATGACTTCAAATACAAAGTAATGGCTAACTAAGGCTCTAACATCCTGCAAAGTCTAGCTTTTCTCTTCATCTCAGGGTACGCATGGGCAGTGCTAAATTATTAAGGCTTGAAATTTTAAGTGATCACATAAGCCCAAACTCCTAGCTTCTAGAAACACAATGAAACAAAAAATCTCCCTTCACTGCAAAGCAAACAGTAAAATAGAAAGATATTAGCCATCTGTTTATAGCAAGCCCTATTCTAGCAATTTGTATCCTATTTTTCTTTCTTTTTCTTGCTATATGCTTTTCCGAAATGCACAAATACCCATTTTTATTGATTCTATGATGCTACAAAGTAGAAAATGCATCATTATTTTATGTGCCAGCAAGAAAGGAAGGAAAATGCCTGATAACTCTAAGACTGGAGTATCCACATTTCAGAGATGTTAAAATTTGAAAGAAGCAGAAATTCAGCACCTCTTCTGGGAAAATATCAGCTCCCACTCTGCACAGCTACTGAAGGAATATCAAACATGGGCATGGAGTAGAGGAGGTGGTGTCGTGCAGTATAGGTGGGCAAAGTCCTGGGTTTGACACCGAAAAAGCCAACTGATCGAGCTTTGCCCTGAAGCTGCAGGCCCCAGCTTTGGTACACCTTACAGTCACGAGCTGTAGGTGCGACTGTGGGGATGAGGGGCCCTGGACTGGTTAGGGCAGACATGTCCTGACTATGGGCAAAGCAACACGTACCACACTCAACAGCGTCACTTTCATTTAAGGTCAGCAGACAAGGAAAGCAACGGACATAATCACTTCCCTGGGGGGAATGCAAGGATTCTAGGAAGCAGTAAAAGAAACCCAGTGGACAGAAAAGTCCCAATAAGTAGAAAATTCTCTTTCTTACTAATTTGCTTTGCTTTTTTAGTTTTTATGTCTCTGTATTCAAAACTTATTTTTTTCTGATACTAAAATACATGTAGCTGACATGTTAGTTTCATTAAATATAAAAGAAACTTAAAAAATGTCATACAGAGATAAGTTATCTCCTTCTACTCTTAAACACAACAGCTAATAGTTGGGATCATACCGCAGTTTTATAGCCTGCTTTTTTTTCACCTAACACTGTATTTCCTCGTGTAAATGCTCTCTGACATTTATTCAAAATAATAAATGCAAAATTGCTGACACCCCTCCCCCCCTTTCCCCTAGTCACTCATCTGTGGCAACTTTTAAGTTCCAGGTTTCCTCTGACTTAGTTCAAGGTCATAATTATGTATTTCCAATATGTTTGCTTCCTTCATAAACATTTGGGGGTATAATTCAGGCTAAGCAAAAAAAACTCAACAGTCGTGGAGTGCACATGCAGCTCATGTGCGAGCTAAGATCGCCCTCCATGCCTAGACACACTTCCCGGTGATCTGAGGCCTACAGCCAGTCACTGCATGGTATCTGTAACATGAATTTAGAACTAGAAAGGACCTTTGATCTGGAATTGCTACTAAGGTTATTCTTCACATTTTACATGGTAGAGTTTAATTTTAAAGTCCTTCAAAAATCTTTATTAGAGGGCACTTGGGTGGCTCAGCTGGTTGGGCAACTGTCTTTGGCTCGGGTCATGATCCCGGGGTCCCGGGATCGAGTTCCACATTGGGCTTCCTGCTGGGTGGGGAGTCTGTTTCTCCCTCTGACCCTCCCACGTCTCGTGCTCTCTCTTTCTCTCTCTCTCTCAAAAAAACAAAACAAGGGAGCCTGGGTGGCTCAGTGGGTTAAGCCTCCGCCTTTGGCTCAGGTCATGATCTCAGGGTCCTGAGATCGAGTCCCGCATTGGGCTCTCTGCTCAGCGGGGAGCCTACTTCCTCCTCTCTCTCTGCCTGCCTCTCCTCCCACTTGTGAATTCCCTCTGTATGTGTCAAATAAATAAAAATCTTTAAAAAAAAAATCTTTATTAGAGATCATAAAATTAGTGATTTCATGTCTAGATCCTTAATCTTTAAAATTTTTTTTTAAAGAATCTGATGTTTCTAAGAAAACTTTACAGTACCCAGTTGTCACTGATTCATGACAAAAATATTTCACACTCTGGCCTGAGACATCACAGAGAGCTGAAAAGTCCATTCTTTAAGAAAAGCTGTGGCAGCGAGGTATTTTAGAGAAGGAAGCTGTAAATGAGAATTGTTTATATGGAAATATGAGCTTTGTTTACAGGTTACCTCAGCAACTGTGTCATTCTTCACAATTTTTATCACAATTTGTTTAATCGCATTTCTGTGACCATCAGGTGTCCTGCCAGTCCTGGAGCCCCTGCACACGTGCCTGCAGTGTGGAGTTTCACGGGCGATGGAAGGAGGACAGCTCCGCAGACTGGAAGCGCACCGGTTCCCAGTCATACCTATTTTACTACGTCTGAAGCTCCACATATCTGAAGTCATTTTCTTTAACACCTTTCTAAAATATGTTTGGTAGAAGAAAGGAAGGGAACCAGCCCAAGCCGGTGCAATCCGGGACCAGAGGTGTGAGGGAGATGACGAGCTTGCAGGCTGGTGAGGTTAGTTATTTCATCCCGGGACAGAGGCCAGAGGCAAAACAGTGATGGAGGGATCCTTCCCGTGGGGCAGGAAGACAGCGGCAACTCCCCTGGCCAACAGGCCTTCGTTTCCAAATCAACTCTAACCACCAACACTAGACCTCACGGGAGTGAGCCAACTAGACTGCTAGGAAAAGATGTCCTTTACTTACAAGGTGAAGACGGACAAAAACGTCTCTAAGCTACTCCCTCACAGGATTTTGACAAAACTAAGTTTCTAAACCAGAGTTGCAAATGCAAAGTTTTCATCAGCTTATCTGCAAGTGTCCAGCCTTCATCCCCAGGAGAAAGCAGCAGCTGTGGGCCCCTGCCCTCCATCTTCAGAGAGGATTTCTAATCTAGGTCATCCATCCCATTGCGCTAGACAAATAAGTACCAGTCCATACGTGACAGCCATATTTTATTTTAATAATATCTCTAATTTTAAGTCAATAGTACTTTCATTAAAAAAAAAAAAAAACAGTAAACTTTTCTTTAAAGGTAAGCTTCACTTCCTTTTTAAAGCCAAATGTCTTCACAGCAAAAGAACAGCAACTCTGAGTTCCCTGAGAAGCAGACTCAATGCCTTTCCTTCCCCATAGTGCCAAGTTGTACACAGTAGACACACAAGTAATAATTGTCTCGGTGTTGACAATGCAGTGCAAATTCCTAGTAGGGCAAATGTAGACTCAGTCTATAAATACTTGCCATGCATCTGTATATGCAAGGGCTGCACTGACTTTAGAACAATTTTTTTTTTTTTTTTTTTTTTTTTAAGGAGGCTCCATGCCCAGTATGGGGACCCTGCAAATTAAGAGTTGTGTGCTCTTCTGACTGAGCCAGCCAGGCACCCCGGGGCCATACTGATTTAAATGGACTTAAGAGGGAATATAATCTAGGACAGCTTAACCAACAAACTGAAACTTCAAATTAATTTTTGTATCGCAACAACCAAATGATGATTTCACTTCCTTTCCCTCTGGTTGCTCAGCTGAATACTTTTGGTTTTTTGAGCTGTAATGTTCCACACCTCATTTGTTCATTTTGATTTTCTCCCCTATCTCCTTCCTAAAAGTGCTAATTTATTATGTATTTTGAAAATAGTTAAAATTAACTAGTTTCCGGATTTTTCTTAATGACCATTACTCCTTACCCTCTTTGTGTCATTTCTAACGCCAGGATGGGCCAAAGGCTGTTTGAGGCCAGGGCCCTTGTTCTGACTTGCTACACAAGACTCTTTTAACAGCGTTGTTGAAAAACAGGTCTGTCCTGCATCTGTCCTGACCCCCCTTTGCCCTCCAGCAGATGAAGGAGCCCCTCTGCCTTCTTACTCCCCACCTGCCGTACCACGCGGCTCGCCTCGCCCTCTTCTGCTGTTTACAGCGCAGCACAGGGGCAGGTGATTATTAAAGGAGCCTGCTTGTTCCATCTGCACCTGAAACAGGCTAGAAGGAAGCAGCTCTACGAAATTGCTTTGTTACCATGGGAACAAAGACCGGATTTCTCAGTGTAGTTTTCACTTCCAGCAACACAATCTGCGGCGAGGCTGGGAGTACGGTCTCATCCCACAAAGAAGCAAACACCAGGGGGGGGTCTGTGTCTCAAGTCCAAACCTCCTGGCATTAGACAGTGGGTGACCTCGCCTGGAACCAGAAAGCCCCTAGTAGCAGGTGACAGTCTAGTCTTGGCCACAGGGCCTGGTTTCTTCACCCTGAGCAGAGGCTGCAACACACCATCCCCCAACACTCGTCGGGGCGCTGAACTCTCTGATTGCAAACAGATTTCAACATCTCTACTCCTCCTCCATGCCACGGTGAACTGCATTCTCCTTCCTTTGGAGTAAACACTATAGCCACCTCAGCTGCAACTGAGTTTGTTAATAAGCCCTCAGGGGAAACCATTACTCTCCTTGCCTTTAGAAATAAGCCCTGGTCCTTACACTGAAGGGAGCCAGAATGTGCCTCATATTTTCCACTATGTACAGGGTTCCCAGGACACTCACACTTCATTGGAATATCCAAGGTGCTGGCTCAGTGAAGTCAAGTTTTGCTGGTCTTTAATGGTGGCCCGTTAGGCTCCATGCCACAGTGAGGGGTTACCAGACCAGAGGGAGGTTCTCACTTTGGCCATGACTTTTAGGCAGTTTCTCTGTTGTGTCCTCTCTCAAAGGATGGAGTGGGGTTGGGCCAAAGTGCAAGGGGTCAAATAAGACTTTCATGTTACTGAAAAGCCACATGGTTCAATGGGCTAAGAAAAAAGTTTCAATCCCAGGTCACTCGGGGACTCAGTGAGGACCCCTGAGAGGTGTGTGTCTTCCATACCTAATCAACCACTCTTGGCCACATTCCCTTCAAACTCAGTCACTTTATCTTCACTCTCACCACTTTAGTTTCCAAGCCTTTAACAAGGCACACCTGGCCTGCCTCTTCTTAACTAGCCTTCTATTTCTAATCTCTTCTCATTGTAAGGAATTCTGAATAGACAAAATTTAAAATGCAATTTAAATGATAACTCTAATTCCTTTCTTTTTTTAGAAGGGGGGCAGAGAGAGAGAATCTTAAGCAGGCTCCATGCCCAGGGCGGAGCTCATTCCCACAACCCTGAGATCATGACCCGAGTGAAAATCAAGAGTGGGACACCGACTGAACCACCCAAGGACCCCAACAGCTCTAATTCTTGAAGTGCTCAGTACAGGTGGGACACCTGATCAGAGTTTTGTATATATCATCTCAGTGAATTTTTTTCAATTCTATATGATGAAAATTATCCTTATGATGAGGAAACCAAGATCAAATGGCTAAATTTCTCAAGATCAAATGGCTAGTAAGTGGCAGAGTTTAGAATCCAAACCTGAACCTATGTGACCTCAGAACCTTCTCAGCCCCCATACTAAACAGTCACATGGAAATCATTCCTACCTAAGCCTATCAAGGCCTTCTAGTTATCTATCTCAACAAATCTAAACTTTGGGTGGTTTTTTATATTTTGGAGGAGATGATCCCCTTCCTCTGAATTTCTACAACGTTCACAGACTGTACTACACAATTCAATAGTGAATCATGCTGAGTAATAGTGTTTACTAAGTGTTTTACTTAAATCAATCTCCCCAAAGATAACCATATGACTTCTTTGAGGGCAGACATTGTATCTCAGAGTCCTCCTTATTTAGGACCTTACCCAGTGGAGTGCAGACAGGTCAGAAGAATTCAGGGACTAAATGTGAGGCCAACAGCTGCTGCACTTAATGGGGACCACACCCTTACCATATGCCAGGCACTGGTCTAAGGATCTTGCGTGCACTATCTTTCTCAGTTCTCATAATACCCCTACAAGGGAGCTATTGTTACTACTCGCATTTTACAGAAGAGGAAAGCCTGGGCAATGAGTTCAAGTAACCAATCCAAGGTCAAACAGCTAGTAGGTGACAGAGCTGCAGTGTAAACCCAGGTGGTCTAGCTTCAAGACCTACACTCTTAACTATCAGGTAAAATGCCTGGGTCCACTGAAAATAAAATTATGTTAGCAATGAAGAAGAAAAAGAATGATATAGGGATGATCTCTTCTATCAACAACCAACAGAAGGAACCAAGGAGGGAACGATATAGTTTGGGAAACTCTCTCTCACTGGAGTGTCCCATTCTGCAGCACCTTTCCTAAACATAACTGAAGAAAAATATTTCAATTATTTTTCCTAAAAATCTAAAACTCAGCTCAGTCATTGATAAGCAGGGGAAACAAATTTCCTGAAAAGCCAGTAAAATCAGCTCTCAAACAGCCAAAACATGGATTAATGTCTCTAACAAAAAGTAGTTTCTTTTGTAGGCGTGAAAGCATGACTAAAAGCAATCTGCTCTGTAGGGTAAATGGAAATACAGTCCTGAACCTTCTTGCTTTATTATATCCTTTGGTCCCTTTAAAAACCCAAAATACTCAAACCGTGCTGTTTTTGGTCTGATAAAGGGTACAAGATAGGAAATAGCAAAACGGATCGACGGCCCTCCAGCAGCACTTTTGAGCTGGAAGTCGGAAGGCTGGACTGGTTGCTGCTGGGTCGAGTGGGGCAGTACCGGGGTGAGTGAGGCTGATGAGAAGCCAAAGGACAATACGCTAGGGACTGAGAGTGTTAAGCTCCAAACACCATTTGTGACAGACTGAGGTACAACATCTCTCTTCACAACCCGTAGGTAGGGACAGATTCACCATCCTCATTTACTCCCCCAGCCCTGCCTCCACCTGTTGAGCGCCATGGTGACTGTAGCTCCCTGTTGCATCTCCTGAGAAGCTGCCACCGCGGCCTCTGCCAATGACGCCACCGCCTGGGTGGCCTCTGATGCTTGCGTCGTCTGGATGGTCATCTCACCTCCCTGTAACGTGGCCCAATTTTGTTCCACCTGAGGCAGAAAGGACAGGACAGTAAAGAATCAAAGTCACAAAAGGAGTATAATAAACTGCTACGTGCTCAGCCAAACACACACACATTTTTAAATTAACATGACCTACGATATACAGGACAGGGTTTTTAGTATGCTATCTTTCGTGTCTAAAAAAGGGGATATTAGAATATCTATTTGAATTTGCTTATATATGCGCAAAGAAATCCCGAAAGGACACAAAAGAAACCACTGAAAATATTTTCCTCCATGTATGGGGGGTGAGAGGGGAGTTGTGGGAAGAGGTTGGATAGGAGACAGAAAGCCAGATTTTCCAATATATACTTTTAAATAATTTTTGAATTATCTGAGCCATATCAATGCATTACCTACTCTTTTAAATTCTTTTGATTAGGTAATATATTACTATGGCTCAGATTAAAATAACTTTGGATAAACCGTAACATTCAAAAGTTAGAATTTCTGAACAGACAGTAACTATAATTCTAAAAATATTCAAATGATACCAAAGGATATGCAATGCCAGTATTCTCAACCTTTTGTCCAGATGTGACCACTCTTACCTATTTCTTATGTGTCTTTGCAGGGGTATTCTCTCTCTATGCAAGTATATTTACACACATACACACTCCCTCCTATTTCCCCCTTTCTACGCCCTTGTAAAAAATAAAAATGGCAGCTTATTCTACGTTATCTCTTTGGTCCTTGCTCGTTTCACCCACAATACATGTCCGAAGTGATTCTATTCTGGAACATATAAAACTGTTTCATTCATTCATGACACATAATGATGGCTGCACAGCGTTTGCAGTATATAAGCACACCATGATTTATTTAATCAGCCATCTTTTAATGGGCATTTAAGACGTTTCTAGTCTTTTGCTCTTACAAACAGTACTGTGATGACTATCTTTACATACTACTTTGTATATTTATGGGAGTCTATTTATGGAGTAAATTCCTAGAGGTGGGATTGTATATTAAAGTTATTTTATATTTTAATTTTTTTGATGGAAATTGCCAAATTCAGGAAACTTTTTTTTTTAAATGTAGCAAAAACTGCTTCCCTTTTAGTGGAGAGGAATTACAAAGAAACAAAATAAAATATTCAAAAAAATATTTTATCTGGTGAGAGAACAGACTAGAATTTAGTTCTGTGAGATCAAGGACAGGGATTATCTTTGCATTGGCATTATTAACATTTGAGGCTAGACGAGTCCTTGCTGCGGTGGGGGGGGTAGGGTGTGTGTGGGGGGGTTTGTCCTGTGCATTCTAAGATGTTCAGCAGTACCCCTGGCTTCTGCCCACTCACTAGATGATAACAGGACCCTCCCTAGTCATGACAATTAAAAACATCTCCAGACATTATCAGATGTCCGGGGCAGGGGCTGTACCCTAATTGAGAACCACTGCTTTTAGTATAATGCTCTGCATTTTGAGATTTCTCAGTCCTGGATACCTGTACCTAGCTACTTCAGTCCATTTTGCTCAGTAAGTACAGTTGATTAATTATTCCCCCTCAAAAACAAAAAGCAGCAGGGGCAGTAGAATCAGTTTCTATTCAAAATCTGGGTGGTAATAAACCAGTGAGCTCAGGTACAGTATCTCCATGGACTGGGGTCTCAGGACGTGAGCCGTGCTCGCTGGCGCTCCTGGGGCTCCTGATCACATGGGTCGGGCCCAGAGAGTAGAGAGCTTGTGCTTGCAGGTCAACTTTGTCCCAAAGAAAGTGTCCCAAGCTCAGGAGAGGCAGATATTTAAAGCGCCTCCTGCTTTTCTGTTACCCTACTGAGGCGATGACAGTGCTTCTCAAAATGCCTGTCAGAAGCCTCCCAGAAAATGGAACACTCCTTTGAACTGCCCTAGTACTTGCCCTGAGTCCTCATGGGCAGCGGGCAACGCCAGCACACCTCCGGAGCCCATCTCTAAGAGGCGGAGACAGCCCGTTTCCTCCCCGCAGAGCTGCAAAGCTGCCCACTCAGGAACTCACAAAACTTTGGCTTCCCAAGAGTTAATATCGCTTTGATTTCATTACTCTGGCGAGTGTCACTGCAAATGATGCCACTTTTAATGGCAAGTTACACTGCCAATTTGTAGATGGTCTATGATTCCCCTCGAAACACCAGACAGCGCTGGCCAGCCCCTGTCACCTTCTGCCATTAAACAGTCTTCCTCTTTCCAGATCTGCCCCTCTGTATTTTTGCCCATCCCACTGCAGAGCTGGGCCTGTGCGGCTCTCCCAATGCTCAGACTCCGATGTCAGCAATTTAATGTATACACATTTAGTTACAACTGTATTTGTAGCAAAAATGGTATCAGAAAGTTGCCATATACAGTATACTTTAAGGAAGTTAAATTATATGGCATGAAAGATTAATGGATGGTGGCAAAGGGTAGAGAGGAAGTAGGAAGAAGAAGCAGACGAAGAAATTTCTATTCAGAATAATGGCAGGTGATAAATAAATCACTTGGGTGTTAACATTTCTTTGGAATTTCCTATTCTTCAGTCTCAGTGCTTTAGTTGTATTTGCTTGAGCTCTTGTTGCTCTCCCTTTCCATCTGTTGGGAGCCACTGTGTGGTTATCTATGCCGGATGTCACCATGTCCCAGAGAAAGGGCCCCAAGCCCTAGGAGGGAAAGATATTCAGAGGATGTACAGTTAGCATCAATGCTTTTTTGAGAGACCCACTCCAATGAGGCCCTTCAAACTGTGGTTACTCTATCCCTCTAGCTACAGTGAACCACTGAGGCCCATCCACACGCTCACAGAGCCACGCACTGCATGTGCTGTTCCCTTTGATGGGAACTTAACTCCCACCCTTGCTTCTAGTCTGACCTCAGGGGAACCTGAAGGAGCCTAGACAACTCCTTCCATTCCCCTGTAGTCCGAGGCTCAGGACCTCTCCTGTGTCCTATAGCACCCTGGGCTTGCTTCCTCAAGTTCCTTACCTCATTGTCTTTGTGCTATGATGTGTCTTTTCTCTACCACCTACCTGTGTGCTCTCTAAGAGCAAGAGCAGTCTTTATTTTCGTGTGTCTATCAAATCTCAGTAAATGGCACAGGGCTCAGAAAGTGTTTACGGAATGGCAGGATGGAGAACATATTCCTTTATTCATGTTTTCCTGCTTGTACTTCAGCCTACTTATATTTCAGGTACACTGATAATCATTAAAAAAACCATCTAGAATAAGTTGTGCTACCATTACATGTGGAATGGTTCAGCTTAAAATTCATGTCTTCAATTCTTGTTTCTTCTTCTTCTAACAGAACCATATATACCATTATGATCAGATACCATTCTATTTCAAAATTTGACTTCTGACACTTAAGTGCAATGAATATCACCACTACCAATTGGTGGTCTTATCACACGACAGGATAAATTCTCAAACCCATTTGCCTTTGTAAATATGCCATCAAAACTGAAATTATTTAAATATTTTAAAATGGAGATAGTTAATTTCATATTATTTTAAAATTCTTTCCTTGTTCCTTTTTTCTTAAAGTAGGTTCCACATCCAGTGTGGGGCTTGAACTCATGACCCTGAGATCAAGAGTCGCATGCTCTTCTAACTGAGCCAGTCAGGTGCCCCCAAAGTCTCTCTTCTTTTAAAGTTTGTGTATTCATGTGAGAAATCTCTTCATCTAACATGGGGCCCGAACTCACAACGTGGGCCCCGAACTTGCTGAGCCAGCCAGGAACCCCTATTTCCTTGTTCATTTCTAAATGTCTATGTAACTTATAGTGTCTATGTAACTTATAGCATCTTTAATGAATTTTAAGGTGACTATAGTTAGAGATTTTTTGTTTCTTTATAGCTATGGGTAACCCTTGAACAACACAGGTTTGAACTATATAGGTCTATTTAGGGGGGGGATTTTTAAAAAAATAAATACAGTGTAGTACTATAAACACTCTTCTCTTCCTTATGTTTTTTTAAATACCATTTTCTTTAGCTGCTTTATTGTATGAATATAGTATATAATACATATAAAATATGTGTTAATTGACTGTGTTATCAGTAAGGCTTCTGATCAATACTAGGCTATTAGTAGTTAAGTTCTAGGGGAATCAAAAAGTTATATGTGAATTTGACTGCAACAGGGGGTCTGCACTCCTAACTCTCATGTTGTTCAAGGGTCAACTGTACTTAGATTACTGGGTATTCTCAGGACAGAGAGTACTCAAACAGATTTGGGAGACCATATATTACCAGAAGAGACTGGCCCCCAATGGCCCTTCTAATAAATTTAACTAAATGTAACTAACTGGATGTTGAAGGCAGTGTAGTCTAATGGTAAGAGCTCTCACTGGCAAGGTTAGGATAACAAAATGACCTCACAACTTCTAAAAGTAGAGGTATCATTTATTTTTGTAAAGTACATTCTCTTCCTTGTAAGAAAAGATGCTAAATACAAGGCCATAGGATGTTTTTACTGAATCATCTGATACAATGTTTCATTAACTTGATGTGGTCTTATCTGCCCTAAGCAGTGAGATATTTTGAGTAATTCCAGTTCTTAGGGCTCAAAACTGACATGCTAACAACCATGTCAACATCTAGGAGGAATGAGAAGGCAAATAAATCATGCTACAAAATCTAAAACATTTTGTCACTTTCTGAGATAAACTGTGCTGCTTCTCTTCATATTATTTTTGTCTCATTCTCAGTGTGCAAAGAGTTACATTTTTAAAAAAAATCTGTATGAATTTGGGTATTTACCAGAAGGCTATTTCTGTCATTCACCCATTCCTACAATAGATGACTAAAAATGATGTGCTAAAAAATGCCATAGGTAAGTCAGAGATTTTTTTAAAAATTCTTCATATTTTTCTGTGAACTTCTGAATTAACTGACCTCTATATATGTGAAGTTATTTAGTAAAATGGGCTTCAAAGAATTCGTCTCTAGGAAAGTGTTTAAGATACAAAGAGCTGCTTTTTTTAAATAGTATCAGGAAACACTCGGTAGGTAGATATGGTTGATAACTTTGATTAAGTCAGAGAGTAAAAAATCTTGTGAATGTACCCACCACTGTCTTTTCTATCTCTTTCACACGTCAAGTTCTAGTGTTGTCTAGTGTCCTCCAGTTCTAGCGTCTGTCGACTGATGGATTTTTCCTTCAGCTAATCCATACTCTTACATGATGCTTATATACTTATAAAAGTAAATATCCTGTCGACTGTCACTTTTCTATACTGTAAAACCAACTGCTGTTCCTGCCCCCAAACCTTCTCAGACTCCCTAGCTGGAAACATTCTCTCCTGAAGGCACAGACCACTTTGCAGCATCTACAGCATGGACCAGAGTTCATCTACGGAGACACTTCTCTCCCCCACACAGTGGAGAGACAGGAGGAGCATCTGGAGAGCAGGGTTCCTGTGTACGCCACTCCACACATCTAACACGTCAGCGCAGCACAGCAGGGGCTCACTTCCTGCTGGCTGACCAGGGAGCCTGGCTGTGTTTCTCTTCAACTCACTAGCCATGAGAACTTTCTTAGTTCTCTCTCTTTCCTGAGTTGTACACATGAAAATGACTTTGTGGTGTTGTGAGTGGAAATGCCCCATGGTTGTGAACAAGGGTGAGATAATATTTTTAGCTTTATTTCTAATACTGCTCGTTGACATTTGTTAGCTATTTTCAAGCTTCAGGGCTATACCACACTGGCACCTTAGGGGAAAAGCCCACAGTGCCTTAATGAGCCCACAAATGGCTCAGGCTTCAGAGCCTGGACAACATTTTCCAAATGCATTACTCAGCTTCAATCCTTTGTGACTCTGGGCAAGTCACCTAACCTCTACATGTCTCAGTTTTCTCTTCTATAAAGTAAAGAATCTATTCTTAATAGGGTTGAGCACTTTGCTTACCAAGTGCTCAATTAAGGTTCACTACCTTTAGGTTAACATCCCATAATTACCTTGATTTTGGTAGAGAAGGATTTTCTCATAAAGTCTTTTCAAAGGCATATTTAAAATGTAGTAAATCATGGCCACTGATTTACAAATATTTTTATCCCTCCAAATATTTTATCCCTCCAAAGAATTCTTTAGTAGCTCCAGTCAAATTTTTTAAATAGAGCCCAATGATTAAATCTTTGGGATTCACAGCATAAAAGTATTACATGAATAATCTCTTTTTATTGTGTATTATATAAAATGCTATATTGCAAATGTAAAATTATAAGTTTCTGACAGTTAGGTCTATCATGAAGATCTATGAATTTCAATTATTACAATTAATATACACGGCATAAGATATTTTGTAAAACTGTCATGGCCTGATGTTTTAAAAAGCTTAAATAAAATAATGCTACCGATGTGTTGGCTACCCGATCTTTTTAATCTTCTGGACCCTAACTACTCCCTCACCTATACATTTATGTATTTAAGTCAATGCAGACCAAATCCTCTTTCTTACCTCTCCATCAGCAACTGCAGAATAATTCACTTGTGCAACAGTGACTGTGGTTGGCAATTCGGAAGCATCAGCCAATGTGGCTACTGTTGCCCCTGTACCAACCTAAAGAAAAACACAGAGAGTGGTGTCAGTGGATGGATCCTTCTACCTCTCCTTTATTCAGATGTTAAGATTCATGTAATCCCAAATTCAGCACAGGTAATGATTAATATGCTTTGTAATGTGAAATGAGTTACTAAAATCGTATCTCAGACACTTACATGAGTTTCAGAAATCTATTTCAACCCAATAAATCAATATTAGAAGCTATCACATTTCACCATTGGTAACTAGCATCAATCAACTTTCTACTTTCACCCCGATTTGAATTTTAGAGGTCCCCCATCTACCAGCAAGTTGAGTTTTACCTCAGGAGAGGTAATTCAGAAGGAATAGCTCCTGCCCCTGATAGAATGAAACAGTACAAAAGAAGCCATTTTTACAGTGCTTTGTTTTGAAAATGTCCAGAAAAAGCTATCGATGGCTCTGTATTTAACAAGTTGCAGACAATTTAAAATCTTATTAAAAAATCAATTTCAGATAGAAAGACTTTGAGGAGCTATAAAAAGTTAATTAAGAGTATGCATGATGAAAACTTTCTCTAGTCTGAGGCGAGGTGCCCACGATCTACTTCACAAACCACAATCTGATAACATAGGTTTACTTACCTGGATAAGTGAGACAGTGCCATCAGGGTTACTAAAGGTCTGGACTACGGTCTGTGATGGTACAAGATGGGCTATACTGTGTGTAGTTGTGGCCTGTGTTTGTGTTTGCTGATCTTCAAAAGCATACAAAAGGTCCTCCCGCCCATGCTGTTTATAACAGTTTTTAACTATGGTCCGTAGTGCCTGGGTCCATGAAACCTGTCACCAAAAGACCAGACAAGCACATTAAAGTCACAAAGAATGTTGGTTATTCAGCCCTGCTATGGAATAAGCAGGTACTTATTTATCAAACCAAACCAAACCAAGCTGGTACAGAATAAGCTCCCTTAGGGTTATTCCCCTTAGACCCATTGTGGCACAAAGAAACTCAGTACCAAGCATCAAAAATTTCCCACTAGATTCCTTCCTGATCAAAGTCTAGTTTAGCTTTTGGGTTTTATACTCTTCTAACCTGAGGCCAAATCTTAAACTTCTCACAAAAGAAGGTTACTCTTTTGTCAAGAATTTTATATTAAGATTCTCAATAAACTTCCAGGATAACTAAAAAACAATTTGCAGAAAAAGCAAGGGATGACATCTAGTTGAGTCCATCTTTTTAAAAAAAGAAGTATCATTACCAGCAGCCTCAACCAACTTGTCATCTCTTTAATTCTATATTTATATTTTTCAACAGTGGTTCCTGCTAACTAGAAATAAGGACATTTCTAAGTCTTCAAAGTACTTAATACTTTTTCTTAACGTTTCTTCAGTTCTTCCAAGCACCTCATAATATTAAAACTGCTCCAAAAGGCAAGTAGGCAGAGAGCAGAGTAAACTCATCGTCCCACCCCGAGTCTTTATAGAGATGAAGTGATGGAATGGGAAAGGCTATAAATCAGACGACAGCAAACCTCTCTGGGAGACAGGTTCGACTTTCACACATACATTTTTAGACTTTTTAGCATAAGAAGTGGAATCCCCAAAATCGAGGTAGTTGACTCAGATTGGAAAAGCAACAGGCTACTCAGGTCTGAGAAACCCTCACCCTCTGCTTTTGCTCTTCTGTGCGGACGTCGCTCCGGACATTCGCCCATGGGATATCCTCAGGCCACCAGATGGGCTTGCAGCTTTCTTTGCCCCAGCCTGGTTTTCCCCGACCCGTGGAGTACTTGAGCATCTCTGGAATAAATGCCCGCAGCTGGGCCTAGAAGACAAGAGTGTGGTCATTAGCAGTCATGAAAAACATCTGGGATCTGCCTGTGTCTTCCACCAAATTCTTTTTTTTTTTTTAGATTTTATTTATTTATTTGACAGAGAGACTCAGTGAGAGAGGGAACACAAGCAGGGGGAGTGGGAGAAGGAGAAGCAGAAGCAGACCTCCCACAGAGCAAGGTGCCCGATGTGGGGCTCGATCCCAGAACCCTGGGATCATGACCTGAGCTGAAGGCAGACACTTAACGACTGAGCCACCCAGGCGCCCCTCCACCAAATTCTAAGATAATAAAACAGAGAGCTTTCCTGGAGGGTCTCAGAGAATTCCAAGATGTGACTGATGGGAACCCATTGTTTTCCACAGGATACCATAGCTCCATGGGGGGCTGAGAATTATATATATGTCGGTGAGACATGCCCTAAACTGTATTTCAATGACTTGGCCCTAGAAGATTAAGAATATCAGCCACCAACTGTGATTTCTTCCTAAGATACTGTATGGATGCTATTTCCCTCATTTCCCTTCTACAGCCTTCCACACATTTAAGGTGTCAAACAAAGCCGATGTGTTTTCAACATTGTTCTGGAGGTAGTGAGCAGGGCAAGCAGATCAGAGAAATAAGAGGTGAGGAGCAGGTAGAATCATCACTATTTGTAGATGATACGACCATGCATCTGGAAACCCCAGAGAATCATATGAAAAACTACCATAAACAGTGAGAGCATTCAGGAAGGTGGCTGGTTACAAATGGGAAGTAGGCTTTACTTAAAAAAAGGGAAAATAACCCTAAAGCTTTTCCAGAAAGTTTCTGGTATGCTAGGCCCATGTCTGTGAGTTGGACATACATACAGAGTGATCTTAAACACACTGTGGACTTCATCCAGATTTATTTCACAAATCAAATCCAGACCAGGCAGGTGTTAAACCAGAGACAACTGCCATTCTCCTGGCACCGTAACCACACTGAGCATGTGCGTTGGAGGGGAAGGGGAGCTTACTTTGTGGATACTCGTAATTGCTGACAATGATTTTTGGCAAGAGAAGCAGTTTATCAAGTTATAATGTTCCTCCCCGGACCTACTGCTTTCCTTTTAACCTCTGCAACACTCCAGAGGGAAGCAGCATCCTCCAACTAAGGACATATCCACACTGCCCCAGCAGCTCAAGACCAAAAGGAGAAGACAGTTTTAGCAATGGGTCACACCCAAGGACATGAGCTTGTAGCGATAAAAGAGAAAAAGAAGCCAGAAATGGGAATGGTCAAGTATTAATGGGAGAATGAACGCAGCGCCACCTCTGTATTCAAGAGCCTACTGAGGTATCAGGTGTTCTTATTTGAATATTATTTCACCAGAAGCTGACACCAATTATTATATAATAGGAAATCATGAACCCAAATCAGTAAAGCTTCCCAGAACAAGGACAGCTCTGGTTGACTGTGTTTACATCCTCAACCCTTTCACCTCCCCAAGTCTGCCTCTCCCAGACAGTCTCCTGCCTACAGGATATGATATAATACACTCCATATATATTTGGCTCTGCGGCATTGAGCAGTAGGCTGATAGAAAGTATCCATTTGCAAACCCAGGCTATCAGCTGGCTCATGAGGTCACTCCTCCAGTTATTTTAAGAAAGTGCATCTCAAAGTCATTTTCCCCTTTATCCTGCTTTCCTGGGAGTCTGTTTTTTTTTTTTTTTCTTGCCTCAGATACAGAGAGAAGGAAAAGGCTTAACCCTCACCCACAATATTTGCTTTTCTTCAAGGGTGGAAAAAGAAAAAAACAACAATGGCTTTCTCAGATGCCAAATAAACTGATACCACACACTTTCACGAGTCTCTCTTTTCTTTTAAACCCAATAGCACTCTCCAAAAGGAGAGTTCTGTATATCCAGACCCGGCAGTCTGGAGATAACGATGTAAGGCTCAACAGCTCTAAATTAACATAAGACTACAGTGTTCAGAAACACGCCATCAGAAACACTTGGCGGACAGAGATCACTCCAGTCCCACCTGGAACTCCATACATTCTCTGATTCTGACGACTTTCAGCTTTTGATCCCACACCCATTCCCATCATAGCTTCCCACACCCCTCAGCTCTGGGTCACCCTGGCACCTGGTGACGGACACCTGCCATCCTGTCTTGCTTTTTGGCTCTCTAACATCAGGCTTTCACTGGGTTGCAAGGACTCACAGGTTATGGGAAGTGTGGGCAGAGCACCGACCTACGCACTTAAAACCCTCCTCTGCCTTCTCTCCAACCACCCATCTTAGTATTTATTCCCTAGATGGCCAAGCTCAAAATCTCAGTCAGCTTTACCTCTTTCCTTCAACACCCATCTAGCTACTCATTGCGAGTTCAATTCTTTCTTCTTTGAAATGTCTGTGCTCTCCATCCCTTCTTCTCCATGCCCACCTCATCCCCATTCCTAGCCCAAGGCTAGTGCATCCTTCTAGTTGACATTTTGAGGAACAACACATTCTCCCCTTTCTTCCTCATCCCATGCATCCCTGACAGGCAGGTTTCCGTTAAGTGCTAACTTTTAAATGGCCTCTCACTACTAGCAACCAAACCAAACTCCTCTGTCTAGCTCTTCCAGCCCACCACAATCCGGCCTCCCAGCACACCCAGTTCCTGCTAATTGCCAACAGGCAGCTTTGGTCCTATCTATTTGGGTGAGTCTCTGCACTATCTTAAGAACTGAACTCATTCCTGCTTCTATGCCTTTCGATTTGTTCCCCTTACTGGAGCACCTTCTCAAGCTACTACTCCAATGCCGACACTCATTCCTTATTTGCCCAGCAAATCCCACATTCTTTGTGAAATATTTCCTGACTACTTCTCGAGTCAACTTCTTGTCAATCAGTAGTAAGAACACAAGCTCTAGACTCAGAGAGCTGGCTCTGAACCCCAGCTCCCTCTGAATCTTAATGTTCTCAACTGCAAAATGATAATGTAAGTATATAGAGGTCAATTCAAAGGATCAGAGATAGTGGGGATATACACATGTTGCATTAACTTAACAGCAGTTTTATTATTACTTCAGTCATCAGCTCTTTTCTTAAATTCCAAGAAACAGTCAATGTTCCGAAATGGTTTTCTAGTACTAAACACACCGTGATGTATGGAAAAGCATTTATCTTCCATTTTTTATGTCAGGTATGGTGGGTATGGTGAAAAAGGAAGAAGGAAGCAGAAGAATGAGTTTATATGTATCATGTAAACATGGTTGAAGATGAGAAATAAAGAATGCTGGAATCAAAAAGTGACCTTCAGGGCCAATTCCGTGTCCTGAGGAAGCAAGCTGTTACCAGCACACCACAATGCACAGATGGTTCAGGTGATTTGCTCTGTGGGATCTTGGAGCACTTAAAAAAAAAAAAAAAAAAAGTGTACAAGCAGATTACGAAAGGAAGTCATCAGAAAATGGGACTCAAGTGTAACCGTTAATTAGAAGAGAGAACTAGAACTAGGCAGCCTGTCAGAGATGTTCCATGTGCTAGAAATCTCTGGATGGGAAATGTCTCAAAGTCTTGGGAAGAAGACAGTAGGAGAAACAAACAACAGATGGGGAAGGTTGCATCCACAGGCAAAACTCCATCAGACATTAAAAAATGGGACCTGAGTGAAATATAACTGCTGGTACACAAGTTCTAATTCAGAAGTAGATTTTAACTTTTTACTAATTATCAACTGTATGAATTTGCCCCCATGTCAAAACAAGAGGTAAAAAGTGCTTTCTACTATAAAAGTTCACTTTTCAAGTCTGTACATTTGGGGGATAAAGACCATTCTTTGCTTTTAAATGCATGGAAATGATGTGACTTCACTGAAAAAGATGATTTTCCACCAGACTATTATTTAATACTGTCCCAAATAAACAGTGCTCAGGCTAAAAGGGACTATCAATAAGGGAAAATGAATTATTCAGTATAGAAAGAGTTAAATGATTTCTTTCCAGAATTCAGCACTGTGCTCTCATTACCAGTTGGATTAATTACGGGTCCTGGAGAGTTTTGGAAACCCAAGCTACTCAATGTGCTTGTTAAGGAAGGTTTGTCTTTAATCCCCAGAGGAGACAATCAACAGGATCAGCAAAGGTAAAGCCTACCCTCTCAGGCTGTCCTTTAATTGGGCCGCAACAAGCTTTCCCAGTCTCTCATTCTGATTTAGGGTTCTCTATGGGCTTAAAGTGCCCTGCTTGGTCAGTAAACCCACCCCAGACCAGCAAACAGTAGAAAGTACCACTCCTTCCAGAGCATTCAGCAAAAAAAAAAATAAATAAAATAAATAAATAAATAAATAAATTCCTGCTAGTATCAGTCAAGAGTAAAGATTATGTGGAAACCATTGATGTTTTTAAAAAAGATTTTCTGAAATTCTAAAAAGTTTAATCCACCCAAAATGAGAGAATTCTCACAATGTTAGAAATTTTCCACTTATAAATTCAGTAAATTCTTTGTTGTCCAATAATGCATTATCCTTATATATTTCTAAATGCCCATCTTCTCTCATTCTATCTTTGCTTATACCAAAGTCTAGGATTTTTGTGGCCCCTGATGTCTATTCTGATTCAGTTACCAAGAAAAGGCTTCTCAAAATGTTTGCCAACTCCCCCTCCACTAAAAAGATGAGATTAGGGGCGCCTGGGTGGCTCAGTGGGTTGAGGCCTCTGCCTTCAGCTCAGGTCATGATCCCAGGGTCCTGGGATCGAGCCCCGCGTCGGGCTCTCTGGGCAGCGGGGAGCCTGCTTCCCCTTCTCTCTCTCTCTGCCTGCCTCTCTGCCTACTTGTGATCTCTGTCTGTCAAATAAATAAACAAAATTAAAAAAAAAAAAAAAGAAAGATGAGATTATACATAAAAAATTTCATGAAAAGGCTGCTGAAATAAAACTGTGTTGGCAGGTGATGTTTTCTATAGACTACAGGGAAACAGGAATGTGGCAGAGGAGGAAGACTGGGGAATTTTCAGACTGTGCCTTCATGATTTT